AGCAGGGAGCCCGATGCGGGACTCGATCCAGGGACTCCAGGATCATGACCTGAGCCGAAGGCAGTCGCTTAACCAACTGAGCCACCCAGGCGCCCTCATGTATTCTAGGTTTAACACGAAATGAGAAAGAATGAGGATGGGGTTCTATCAGCAAAAGAATACAGTTTGATATTTCATGGGCTATAAATTACAGAGTATATAAAGGAAGATCATATACAGAAACAGCATATATTGAAAAATAGGCAATCATTAAAAATACTTTCAATACAGGGGTGCCTGGGTGGCTCAGTTGGCTGGGGGTCTGCCTTCAGCTCTGGTCATAATCCTCGGACCCTGGGATCGGGCCCCATGTCAGGCTCTCTGCTCAGTGGGGAGCCTGTTTCTCCCTCTCCCTCTGCTGCTCCCTCTGCTTGTGCTCTCTGTCAGATAAATGAATAAAATCTTAAAAAAATATTTTCAACACAGACAAAATCGATAGACAATAAACTAAGAAAAACATTTGCCTTATTTATTATATGTGTTGAACTTTCAAAAGCTGACTGAGAATCAAGGGGATAGGTACTTTATTCAAGCTGTTGCAATAGAGAGAATATCCAAAGGGAGTGTTTCCTGGAAAATGGGAAACAAGAGGAATTGTATATAGCAAAGATACAAAAGTGGCAGAGTGTCAATTAAAAGTTTGGTGACTAATCAGGCAGGTGCTGCAATGCGAAGCTGCTGAGAAAGGGAGAGTCCCAGTCACCACAAGTGGGGGTAAAAAATGGTTCTCAAGTCCTAGAGGGCAACTGACAATACACGCCGCAAGATTTTTACACGTGGTCTCTGATCTAGCCTTCCCATTCAAAAAATTTATCAGGAATAAATATCAGAAAAGTGTTCAAAGATTGACTGAAGTCATCCTCGACTTTTGTCTTTCATACACTGCATGAAATCCATCAGGAATTGGTTGACCTTCACAATATATCCAGAATCTGACCCTTTCTTTCCAAAACTGTAGGGGTGGCGGGAGGGGGGGGTGGAGAGAGAGAGAAAGGAATGGGGAGATGGGGAGAGAGAGAGAGGGAGAGAGATTTGGCCTGTTTTAGTTCATTACATCCTGTTCTTAGAACTGTAACTCAAAAAAGGAATTGAAAGGAATGGATTAGTCTCTTAGTACCAGGGAGCATCAGGGTCAGTGTACATTCAGAAAATAAAGTTTTACATTTCTCCACACAGGCAAAAGATAAGTATATTTGCTATATGAAGATAAATAAATTCTTTATAATTCTTTCTATATATTTCTTTGTAAGGGAGAACACCTCCTGCTGTAATAAATAAACTCTGAAATTTCAGTGGCTTTTAACACAATAAAGCATCTTTCTTTCTCACAAAACACTTCAAAAACCATTGTTCTTGGGCAGCTCTCCTGTATGTAAGTGATTTAGTGTCTCAAGATACTTCCTTCTTGTACCATTTTCAACATGTGACTCCCACGGTCTCCTTGGGGGTCATTTCCTGCCATCTATCTTAGAGAGGAAAAGAGCTTTGGAGGATCATGAAAGGGAGGTTTTTATGGGCCAGGCTAAAAGTAGTCTGTATCACTTCTATGAACCTTCCATTGGCCAGAATTTGGACATACAACTCTCCTTAAGTGCAAGGATGGCTGGGAAATGTAACTTAGCTCGGTTTTTAGGAGGAAAACAGAATGGGTTTGATCAATCAATAAAATTTTATTTTTTATTTTTTTTTTTAAAGATTTTTTTAAAGACCTGAGCCGAAGGCAGTCGCTTAACCAACTGAGCCACCCAGGCGCCCCAATCAATAAAATTTTAAATTAATCTCATAAATGAAATTTTTAAGTGGTAATAAAAAAGATGAACTCTCCAGTGGAAAAATGGCCAATACCAAGGATTAATAAAAATATTCAATAATCATTAAGCATAAAGTTAAATAAGTTACAAAAAAAATCTACCTTTCATATTAAACTATCCATATTAAAAATAATAGTCCATTTATTTTCCTAAGCTGCTGAAAAATGGAGCGTCCCAGTCACCATAAGCAGGGGTAAAAAATGATTCTCAAGTCCTAGAAGGCAACTGACAATACACACCCCAAGATTTTTACATGTGCATGGTCTCTGATCTAGCCTTCCCATTCAAAAAATTTATCAGGAATAAATATCAGAAAAGTGTTCAAAGATTGACTGAAGTCATCCTCGACTTCTGTCTTTCATACACTGCATGAAATCCATCAGGAAATCCTTTAGATTGACTTTCACAATATATCCAGAATCTGACCCCTTCTTTCCACCTTTACTCCTTCTTTCTTATCTATAGTCTAATTTTATTTTTTTATTTTTATTTATTTATTTTAAAGATTTTATTTATTTATCTGACAGAGAGAGAGAG